GAGCTGAGCAAAAACTGAGCAAAAAGAGACTCTAGAAAGGAGGAACCTACGCGATACACCGTGTTATTTCATATCCAAACGGATACAAGCCACGCGATACGYYGTGTTATTTTTGTCATACCAGTTTTGTTGCATACCTTAACAGAAGGGGAACGCGTTGCACATGGAAGCAATCCCGTGCGTTCCCCCTCTGTTACCAGTGCCGGTTCCAGTGCTGGTTCCAGTGCCGGTTTTTTGTGGGAAGGTATGCAAGAAAACTACAAATAACACGGTGTAACGCGTGGCTTGGATCTCGAATAACACGGTGTATCGCGTGGCTTGGATCTGGAATAGTATTTTACATCCAGTACTCCAGTACTCATAAATCGCAAACTGGGGGGGAGCAAACAGCAATCAGCAATCAGTACTAGGGGGGGGGGAAGCAAACAACAATAAGCAAACTAGTTTAGTAGATTAATAATAATCAGTAACTGACCATGGGATTGTTATTCCGAATCATCTTCAGACAAGGAGGATGAGGAGGACGATGACGATAACGACGTGTTGCTCTTGTTCTTGTTCCTCTTTCTCTTTCTCCTCTTCCGACGTTGCAGAAAAGCACCGGCAATCTCAGCAACCATTGTCTTGATTTGGGCCATGCTTTGATGAGACAGTTGCTGATTCATTTCCATGGACTGCTGATGCTGTTCCCTGGACTGGATAGYGAGGGCTTCTTGCTGTTGCAGGGACATCTGGAACAGGGATTGGAAGTCAGTCGTGCTGCTGGTGGCGCTGCTTCCTCCTCCTCCTCYTGTTGATGAGACTCGTAAGTATGGTCTCTTGGCAGGAGGACGTGGGCGAGGACGTGGGCGCGGAGTACTCTGTGGAACAGGAACAGGAACAGCGTTGAAACTTGATTGTTGTTGTCTGCTGGCTTCAGCCAGCTGAGTTGGCATCTCATCACCAAGCTGTGTTGGTGTCATATCTTGAGTATCTTGAGTGACCTGCTGTGTTGGTGTCATTCCTTCTTGTGTTGGTGTCATTTCTTGAGTAAGTTGCGAGGGCTGTCCAAGAGGAGGAGGACTTTCGGTGTTGTTGTTGTTGTTCTCGAAAGTGCCATTTTCCTCACTAATAATGTATCCTTCTTCCATATCAAAGTCCTCCTCTCCATCCCCACAAGCAGCCTTGTTGCCAATGAGATGCTTGATCTCCTTTGCCAGCCTAACAGCGGGATCGATGTTTGGATTCCCAGTGGGCGCTGCTTTCCTGTGGAGGGACGCGTACTTCCTTGTGATTGAATSCCTGTCTCTTCCAGTCCCCCAGTTCTCATCATGGGTATCAATGAATTCTCTCCATTGTTCTGGTCCAATAGGAAGGATCCTCCTCATGGTTGTCAGCAGGGACATTGTCTCGCTCCTGGAGTAGTTGGTGGATCCCTTGGATCTTCCACCTCTTTCTTGGTGAGCAGTCGGCCTTGCAGCAGTCGTCGGCCTTGCAGCAGTCGGCCTTGCAGCAGTCCTTGACCTTGCAGCTGGTGTTGCTGCTGTTGCTGGAGCAAACCTTGCAGCTGTTGTTGCTGTTGCAGCTGGTGCTGGAGCTGGAGCTGGAGCCATGGTGATCCTTCTGTTCTTTTTGTGAGCCGGCAAGAAAGAGGATGGTACCGGTATGTGAATCACATGCGGGATTTCTTCTTCCCTCTCAAGACAGCGGCGCCGGCTCCTCTCTTCCCTCTCTTCTTCTTCTCTCCTCCATAACAGAAGAATATGGATGGGGCTCCATGTGCCAGCCATCACCATCAGCATTGTTAGTAGCACACAGCTGTTCCTTCTCTTTGTTGTTCCTTCTCTTTGTCCTCGTTCCTTCTCTTTTGCAAAGATCATGTGCTTTTTTCTTGACACTTGAATCGAAAGTTTGGCGCCTGTTTAGGGCGCGCCTGCTCCCGAGACTG